TGGGTGGGCTTTGCATAAAATAATATCAATGGAAGTTAATATTAACAAACTTGAAATGGGAAATGGTTCATCCTTTATTAGACTGCCAGAACAAATTTCTAAAAAGCGAGCATGTTTGAATATAAAAAATACTGACTCGGCATGTTTCTATTGGTCAATCATAAGTGCCTTCTACCCAGCGAAAACACATAGGGAACGGACTTCTTCATATCCATATTACACTACAGTTCTGAAAACAGTAGATTTAGATGCACCCATGTCTCTACGTCAAATTCCAAAATTTGAAAAAGACAATAACATTTCCGTGAATGTATACACATTAGAGTTGAATTTAGTCAAGGAAAAATCATATTATACTGTGGTGCCAGCCAGACTTACAAAAAATAAATTAGAAAGGCACGTTAATCTATTGCTAATTCAAAACAAATATTATCCAAAATTAAATGATTATGAGGCTCCTCCGATTGATGAAGAAGATTCTGACATCAAATACCATTACTGTTTGATTCAAGATATGTCTAGATTAATATCAAGCCAAGTGAATAAACATAATGGTAAAAAATTTATTTGTGAAAGATGCATGAATTATTTTCAATGTGAACAAAAATTGATTGATCATCAAATGCTGTGTTCTGAATTGAACCAATGCAAAGTTTCATTTCCAAAATATGATCACATAGAATTCAAAAATTTCACCTACCAACAAACCACCCCCTTTATAATTTATGCAGACTTTGAATGTCAATTAGAACATGTGGATGATATGGTTTCATCAAAAACAAGCAAATATCAGAAACATGTGGCTCATAGTGCAGGCTATTATTTTAAATGTGATTTCGATGATTCCTTGTCGTTTTTCAATAGCCATAGGGGTGAAGATTGTATGGATTGGTTTGCAAATGAAATGTCGAAGATAGCTGAAATCGTGCAATCTAAAATCAAAACAATCGTGCCAATGACTGTTAGTCCTGACAAATGCAAAGCAAAAATCTGTCATATTTGTGAGAAACCATTCAGGGAGAAAGACATTATCGTAGCCGATCATAATCACTTTTCAGGCGATTTCAGGGGGTGGGCGCATCAAGCACCCTGTAACATAAATTTCAAGAAACTCTTTGTTGTTCCAATTGCATTTCACAACCTGATAGGATATGATTCACATTTCATGATCAGTCAATTGAGTAAAAAGGGTCGTATGAGCATACTTCCAATAAACATGGAAAAGTACATATCTTTCACTTTACATGATGACAATACAGGCATCAAATTCCGATTTATTGACTCTTTTCGCTTCATGGGTACATCCTTAGATAAATTATCTTCAATCATGGATAGAAATGATTTTGAAATTTTGAAAAAAGAATTCAGTCATTTGAATGACGATACATTCAACCTCCTCACCAAGAAGGGTGTCTTTCCCTACGATTACATTAGTTGTTTGGAAAAATTGAATGATACTGAATTACCTACAAAGAAATATTTTTATAATAAATTGAATGATGAACACATTAGCGATGAGCAGTACGCCCATGCTCAAAAGGTATGGTCATCATTCAAAATTCAAAATTTAGGGGAATATTCTGACTTATATTTAAAAACAGACGTTATGTTGTTGACCGCTGTTTTCGAGAAATTCCGGCAGAAATGTAGGACAACTTATGGGTTAGATCCAGCATGGTACTATACCATGCCTGGATATACATGGGATGCCATGTTAAAGTACACCAAATGCAAACTGGAATTATTGAATGACGTTGATAAAATCATGTTCATCGAGAAGGCATTACGTGGTGGTATTTCTGTTTGTAGTGGTAGGTATTCAGAAGCTAATAACAAGTATATGTCTGAATATGATTCCAATAAACCTTCAAAATATCTCATGTATTTAGATGTAAATAATTTGTACGGTTGGGCAATGTCAGAGTCTTTACCATTCGGAGATTTCTCATGGATGGAAAACGTTGAAAATTTCAACGTAATGAATATTGCTGATGATGCTCTTGAAGGATATATTTTACAAGTAGACTTAGAATATCCTCGCGACTTGCATAACAATCACAAAGACTTTCCATTTGCTGCTGAACATCGCATACCACCCGGCTCAAAATTACCAAAATTAATGACAACACTTTACGACAAAAAAGATTATATTTTACACTATAGAAATCTAAAACAATGTTTAGCAAACGGACTGAAACTGACGAAAATCCACAAAATTTTGAAATTCAGGCAATCTTTTTGGCTCAAATCATATATAGATCTGAATACTTCTTTGAGGACTGCCGCAACAAATGAATTTGAGAAAAATCTCTATAAACTAATGAATAATGCAGTTTTCGGTAAGACGATGGAAAACATACGAAAGCATAGATTAGTGAAACTAGTAAGATCATGGCAGGGACGTTATGGAGCCAGAAATCTCATAGCTAGTCCACGATTCCGTGGTAGAACAATTTTTGAAGAAAACTTGATTGCCATAGAGATGCAGAAAACCGAAATAATTTTTAATAAACCTCTATACGTAGGAATGGCCATTTTAGATTTATCAAAATTGTGCATGTACAAATTTCACTATGAGTATATGATTCCGAAAATGGGTATTGAAAGGTGTAAATTGTTATATATGGATACAGACAGCTTCATATATGAATTGAAATGTGATGATGCATATGAAGAAGTTATAAAGGCTGATCTCTCTCAATTTGACACATCTGAATATGCTCCAGATAATAAATATAATATGCCACTAGTCAATAAAAAAAAGTTGGGTTTATTAAAAGATGAAGCAAATGGGAAAATCGTTACTAATTTCGTAGGACTACGTTCGAAAATGTATGCATATAAAGTACAAGGGGGTAAGGTTGTCAAAAAATCGAAAGGGGTGAAAACTAATGTTGTCAAGAATAAAATTGGGTTCGAAGATTATTTGAATTGTTTGAAGAATTTCGGAGCACAAACAGTGTCTCAACGTACTATCCGTTCATATGCCCACAATGTGTTTAGCATTCAACAATCAAAAATTGCTCTGAGTCCCAAAGATGATAAACGGTATTTGATTCCAGGTTCGTTCGACACATTGCCATGGGGTCATACACAGGCAAAAGAGTAATTTTTTCATGTAAATCAACTCATCAAACATTTATAAAGAAAAAAAAAAAACCATACACCTACACTTACACTCCTCTGTTTTAGATTTAGAATTATTATTTGGGCTTAAAGAACGATATGAATGTGATATGGATTTACATGATTCACATTATCAGAGATATGAGAGATTCATCGATTCTGGTGATGAACATACAGATATTGATTCTTGACTTACTTTAACAATATTTTACAGATTTTAGTAGCATGATATCATCTTTACAAATGTAGTTTGCGAAAGAAGACAATGAAAAATGACTTTTTTTTTTTCAGAATATGTTTTTTCTTATGAAAATGTAATACTTGCCCTGGCTATTAATGAAAATATAATATATGCTGTCTATCTATCATTAATAAAATAATTATTGAAATTTTCTGTGTATCATTGGGATGGGTAGTGAGGGTAAGAGAGAGTGAGAGGGTAAAAAAGTGAGAAGAAGAGAGAGAGAGAGAGAGAGAGAGAGAGAGAAAGAGAGAGAGAGAGATTGGATGGATATTAGTTGAAGGTATGGATGTAAAAAACAGTTGTATCATGTCTTCTGACGAATACAGACGTGCACTAGAAGAATTTGGGTTGAAAGTTAGAAAGCTCAGTGCAGACATCCAATTGTATGAGCAGAAAGTTTGTTTGTTCAAAGATTTCGAGCAATTGAGTGTTTGGGACAAGGTGTTCACAGAACCAAGACGTTCAGTTGCACCTACATCGAGAAGAATCCAACCAACACAGCTACTAGATGGCGATACTGAAAGCAAGCTTCATTCTATTGACAGCTCTGAGCAACAACGTCTTCTACACAAACATACCGTACAATACGAGGAATGCGGCCGTATGTTTTGATGTGAATCGTACACAACAGTGTGATTGGAAGCTGATGAGTAGAATGTATGTCAACGATAACAAACTACCTGTATATTCAATCGACATGCCTCGAGTCAATGGGACCACCATCGACTACAAATTGAAATTATCGTTTTCTGATGGCAGTGACGGCGAAATGGGAGACTGGCAGACATTTACATTGAAGAAATCACCCGCAAAATTAGATGATGATCAAGATTCTGTCAATATCATTGCAATTTTGACACTTTGTTGTACACTAATATGTTCACTCATTTTAATCTCGCATGTTATTTTCATTATACTGAGAAATAAGGGATGTGATGAATAAAAACTCTGAAATTACGATATATAGTTTTTTATTTTGGCAATAAATTACATAACCAATTATATAAAGTATCGACATTGTGGAGACTGCACTGGAACCTTCCTCCATGGAAATGATTCATGCAGGGTGGAATGGATTGTAGGAACGTTATTGGTTGCCACCAAGAATTGTCAAAATCTTCCAAATTAACAATGTGATTGGTCATCTCCAACTCTGCACATTTTCGCTGCAAAAACTGAATCTTTTGATGACCTCTTACGTAGATGATGTTTGTCTGCTGCAGGTTATCTCGTAGTATTTGATCCAACTCATTCAAATCCACATAACCACTGGAATATTTTAAACCATGAACGTAACGCTCCACATGATTTGCCATCTTTTTATCTTCTCTGCTTAAACTGGAAAATTCTACAGATGGCTTGAATAGAAAATGACTCGTCTTTTTGCCTATGCGAATGGTCATTTCCTTTGGAATGAATTCACCATCAACCGTGAACCCTTGAATGTCAACCAGTGCGATCTCCATGACTCTTCGAAGCAAACTGACGTCTGACTGATGTCACAACACCCACCTAGGCAATATTTCGAACAATTTCGCTGAGTGGGAGATGTTCCATGATTTGATCATGAATGATGATGCAATAGGCTTTGGTGTCGGGAGGGAAGCCTGTAGTCGCTTCAATGTCCAACTTTATGTCAACTGTGGACGACTTTAGACCCAGATGGCGCCTCGAGCAATCGATAACAAACATTGGTCGGGATTTGAATTCGGCAAAGTTTACTAGAGAGCGCTTTTCTTGACAGTTATGGTAGCTCTTGTTGAACTCTGTATAGTTGAAGTGGGCGTCGGCATATTGGTCTCGGGAAAAGTCCAATAGCATTCGTTCTTGCGGATAATAGTCGCTATTCAGAGCCAATCGTATGGATTTGATGTTGGCATTATCGAACAAGGTGACGTCTTCATGCAAATTATCGGCTTTTTTCGTTTGGAAAAATACTATAACATATCTTGGACTGTCCAATGCAGAACATGTCTTGACGGACCAGATTTCTATGGTAGATCCTTGTGTGAGTGCTGGTAGCTCGTGCAATTCCCATCGGCGAAACGGTATCATCATAGACTCATCTGCTTTGATACGTGTCAACAACTGCAACTTTATGTCATCGTTGGGTGTGAGATGTGGCACTTTCAAATTGATGCTTTCTATCGTTATTTTAGCAATACTCTGAGTCTGAGGAGATCCTTGCAAAGCAGTATTCGCTCTCTCGACAACCTTCACACTATTGGCATCATTGCGAGCTCTCACTAAACGGATTGACTGCTTGCCCCACGTTGCCACTTGATGATCATTGAAGATGGAAAACAAATGTTTCAGTGGAATGTTCATGCTAAACGTACCATCGGTGTTGAGGATCGGAGCATTGGGATAGTTCCAGCCTGCTATGGCTAGATGACGTGAGTCTTCAGGCGTATAACACAAGTATCCTCGCACAGTACTCGTTATTCCAGGATATCTCACAGTGTCCAATTCTTTATTACACAATTCATAGGTGCAGGAATCAAAGAGATAAGCTCCAGCATTGTGGGTTAATGTACCAGTACCACCACCGGTCACCTTCAATTTACCCTTGATGGTAATGATGCCTTCAAACATGGCCAACCACGAATCTGCTTGATTAACCGTTATATCGATGACATCATTGTTCTCGAATGATTTCACATATGGATAATAGGTACGCCATTCCACTTTAGTGATGCTTTCGTCGAGTCTGGGTTTGCGGAAAACGTCGAACACGGGTGCTAACAACATTGTAGTCTTTGAATGATTTCAGAAACAGGACACTGGATAATGTCAATGTTTTTCTGTTGCTGCTCTTCGAAGACACGACTGCTTTGGTGCACGGTGTCGAGAGAACTGGTGCCGATGATGTTGCTGATGATGGTATATTATCTGATTTATAGGAGTAATCAAACACTAGTACCATCTTGCGAGTTTCTTCAATTCCAATCTTATGATGATTTCTTCACCTCTAAAATTCACCTGCCTGAAATCTTGGTCTAGAATCTGGAGTGTAATGTTGGGCAATTCCCGCCTGCTGACTATAGGTAGATAGATTAGATTTCTGGGAGTCTCGTCTATGGCGTAACCAGGATCGACTGCAACTGCAAACTCGTAGATCGTATGTGATGGTCTGTCGTTGTAGAGAGCTCCAGCAGTAACGTTGCTATCAATGTGAATGGTTCTCACTTTGGTTATGGTGACCGGCAAATCGGAAGTGTGGACTTGTTGTGCGTTCAACAATCTATTTGAAAATCCCAAGACTTGAGCTATGCTATCCTTCGGGCGAAAATCAATGGCAAACTGTTTGCTCGAAATCTCACACTTTAGTGTATTATTGTTGGGCTTCAACGAGAATATATCATCAACGTCCTTTGCACTTGAGATGCCCAATTCTTTGCGTATGAATGTCTCAATGTCCACAATGTCGTATGAACCTTCGGGAATATCGATGATCTTTCCCGCCTTGGTCTTATCTTGCAGATAAAACTTTGATCCTTTGTCGATATTCGGTATACTGTTGTATGAATGGAATCCCAACAATGTTAGTCCGTAATCAGAGTCTGGATCGAGTTGGAGTGGTGTCAAAAAGTCTATGGAGAGCGTAGATGTACGACCTTTCAACGTCACAATCAGAGACATGACTGATGCACAATGACCGAGTTACTTGGTCTCATTAAAAAGGAATTCTAAACATAGACGTCCACAATTACTTTGATTGAAATTCTGGTATTGATTGTTATTGTACAAGATTTTCGTGCTGGCACCCAAATATTGCGCCAATTCTCTGGGCGGTTTCAGATTGCCATAACTATCGAAATATAAGGCTTTTTTATCATTTTTTATGTAAGCCACCCAATGAGTGCCCGCATGATTGGAGGTATCCAAATTCAATACAGCACACTCGCGATGCCATGGACCGGTGGAAGGTAGAGTGTCCCGCATAAAAACACCTCGAAAATACGGTATTTTCAGCTGTTTGGCATACTTTATCACATCTTTATCGTACATTGATTTATTGGGTAGCTTGTCTAGAAGTTTTTTGAGTTTTTTGATTGTTTCTTCAAGTACAGTCCGAATCCTCTCGATGTTTTGCGTAGAAATAGGCCGGAACCCTGCTTGCCGATAGCCTCCATTGCTTTATTATGTCTTTGATCTTCTTCGAGCTTTTTCTTTGCATTTTTCGCATCAATGACTGTCTTTGCGACTGCTCCGGCTCCTCCAGCTAGAGATCCTAGGGCTCCCAAGGCGGCAAAGATTGGTATCAATGGTAGTATACCGCCACTGTGTGGAAGAGGTATGATTCTTGGTACTCTGATTCTTTTTTTACCGCCAGCCCTCTTGACTGCCATTCTGGCTGCATGGAGTGCTTTCAATGCAGATTTATTCAGACCACTTCCTGATGTTGTACTACCACCACCACCACCATCTGACTTTGATAGTACATTTTTTATGAATTTGATAATGTTGGATAGGGATTGCTGTGATACAAGACCCATGCCAAGTTTTCGTTTGACCTTCATTCCGGTGGTGACAAGCCAAGCAGCAGCCTTCTCTTTGAATTTAGCGTTCTTCGACTTGACTCTCTCCCACGCTCTATTTTCCAATATCCAATCAGCTTTGTGCCTGTCTTCTATTGAGGAATTTTGTGAATAGGCGATATCGTGTTCTCGACACGCGTCGTCCAACGGATTGATACCGGTGTCTCCTCTTGCAAGTCTTTTATCGAGTTTGGTACCTGGACCACAAAATCTGTAGCCTGGAATGTGTAATTCGATGGGAAGTTTATCGATCAGAGAATTAAGCACACCCTCTCCGTGGTAGAGCAACATGAAGACTGACGTGTAGGAAGTTCGACAACTCTGCATATACCTAATGAAATGAAAAATATATCATCACATGATGAAGATCATTCAACAAGAACGGATGTTACCCATTGTGAATTTGGATGAAATTTTGTCAACCAAACCACCAGTAAATAGTAAACATGGGAAACTGCTTCCCCATTCGTTCAGAGCAATCTTCTGCGGACCAAGCGGATGTGGAAAGACCAATGCGATGCTTTCCCTGCTGTTCAATCCAAATGGCGCGAAATTCGAGAACGTTTACGTGTATTCAAAGTCGTTGTACCAACCGAAATATCAATTGCTGCAACAAGTGTTGGATTCAGTGAAAGGTGTTGGGTATTTTCCCTTTAAAGAAAATGATGATGTCATTAGTCCATCAGAAGCGAAAAATAATTCGATATTCATTTTTGATGATGTATCATGCGACAAGCAGCAAAAAATTCGAGAATATTTTTCAATGTGTAGACACAAGGATATTGACGTAGCATACCTATGCCAGACTTTTTCTAAGATACCGAAGCAGCTGGTGCGAGACAACAGTAACCTGTTGGTGTTATTTCGACAGGATGAAATGAATTTGAAGCATGTGTTCGACGAGCATGTCTCACCAGACATGTCATTCGATCAATTCAAAGCATTGTGCTCAGAGTGTTGGAATTCCAACCAATATGGTGCGATGGTGATTGCAAAAACTTTCGATATGAATGCTGGCAGATATAGAAATGGTTTCGATAAGTTCATAAGACTGTGATCTCTGGCCCATTCATCAAGATGACGTCAACCAAGATGCATGATGATGTTGCTGATGCGCTGCGCAAGAAAAAAATCAGCGAACTATCGAAATCAATCAGAAGAAAATATTTAGCACTAAAATTGGGCAAGTCTGAGGATGATGATGCGTTACAGAAAATATTCCAACCACTGACATCACCTTTGAAACAAATTGCCACCACGTCCAAGGTAATAAAAGAAAAACTCGATGGAACGCTTTCAAACATCAAGCGAAGCAGAGCAAAATCGTTGGGGTTGAAGAAGGAGAAGAAGGAGGAAGAGGATGAGGAGTTGGAGAGGGAGCAATCGGATTTGAACCAAACTAATTTCATACCTATGATGGATGTGGCTGATAATGTTGGGCATACTGAAGATGATGATGAGGATGGTTATGACGATGCTGATGATGAACTTTTTGTAGATAGTGAAAATATCTCACCGGCTGCAATACATGATTACGTTGATCAGTATCCTGCGATGGCTCAAAAATATCTGACTGAATACTGGACAAATGATGAAAATATCGATACGGTTTATGGTCCCAAATATGATCCAGTAACATCGAAATGGTCCCTCAACGGAAAAGAAATGAATTTCCATCGAAGAACTGGAGATATACTTCTTGATGGCTTTCGGTTCCGTGGCACCCCAGGCCTCTATCAATTACTCTTCTATAATGATCCATCCTTTGCCAAAGATGATACGAACCCATACAAGCAAATACTCTTGCTCACCAAAGCTCATCTGAATTCTGCAGGACGTATGAAGTCCTCCTCTAGACTCAAATACGTAGAAATTATTCGTCCAATGTTCAGATCCAATTCCAGTGGTCGTGGTTTGAAGTTGACATACAACACAGCACCTATCGAATACATGTATTGGGATGATCCAAACGAATTGGTAGATAGATTGAAGTTGCTCATTGCATCACAGCAAGCCGGAAATACATCAAACGATAACGAGATTGTTGCCATCTTGAACGAATTAGAAGAGGCAGGCATAATAAAACATGTGTAACATTTCTGTGATACTTCCGTGACACTTCCATGACAACTTCCGTGACAGTTCCGTGACACTTCCTTGACACTTCCATGACAGTTCCGTGACAGTTCCGTGACACTTCCTTGACACTTCCGTGAACTTCCGTTACACTTCCTTGACACTTCTGTGACACTTTCATGGCATGTCTATGAGTGAAGGGGCTAATAATTGGCGATGCAAAGTGCCGACCATTATCGATAACGTACAATACTTTAGTCATTAGCATAATGAGTCTCGACAAATTCGGACGTGGTTCGTTTCCACGCTCAGCTCAGATGGTGACAGTCAGATCTGGATTTTCACATACTCCAACCGGTGATATTGATGTTGGTCATTTGAAGATGTGTAACGTAAAACTGCCAACAGATGCCGCTGATGTTGCAAACAAACAATATGTGGATGAAGTTATATCGCAAATAAAGTTAGATTTCAAGATTGCTTTCGATAATTACGGTGAAAAAATCCGAAATTACCTTGCTGGCTTCAGCAACGAAATTATCGATGTACGAAAGAGAGTGGATTCTCATGATCTCAAACTGGCAACGTACAATACAAACTTTGT